ATGAATATGTTCATCTTCACTACCTGATGCTAATGTAGTACCATCAGGAGAGAAATTGACTGACGCAACAGCACTTGAATGACCATCTAATTTGGCCATCTCTAATCCTGTCTCAACATCCCATAAACGAACAGAGTTATCTTCACTACCTGAAACTAATTTAGTGCCATCAGGAGAGAAGTTGACTGAAAAAACTCTATTTTTATGGCCAACTAATTTGGTTTTTTATTATCTTGTCTGAACATTCCATAAAAGGATTGATTCATCTTCGCTACCGGATGCTAATATATTACCATCAGGAGAGAAACAAACAGATCTAACACACCTTGAATGCCCTTCTAATATTGGTTTTTATTATCCTGTCTTAACATCCCATAAACGGATAGAGTTATCATAACTACCAGATGCTAATGTAGTACCATCAGGAGAGAAATTGACTGAATAAACTGTATTAGAATGACCATCAAATTTGGCTTTTTATTATCCTGTCTTAACATCCCATAAATGGATAGACTTATCATAACTACCAGATGCTAATGTAGTACCATCAGGAGAGAAATTGACTGACATAACATAATTTGAATGACCATCTAATTTGGCTTTTTATTATCCTGTCTTAACATCCCATAAACGGATAGAGTTATCATAACTACCAGATGCTAATGTAGTACTATCAGGAGAGAAATTGACTGACATAACATAATTTGAATGACCATCTAATTTGGCTTTTTATTATCCTGTCTTAACATCCCATAAACGGATAGAGTTATCATAACTACCAGATGCTAATATAGTACCATCAGGAGAGAAATTGACTGACGCAACAGCACTTGAATGACCAATTAATGAATGTAAATCGTTAGACTAAAGATTCTTCCAATTACAGTGGAACATTTATGCTCCATTTAGATTAATTCCATTTATGTTCACATTATCAAATTCAGATTAGCTTAAATTACATTTAGCAAAATTACCTCCTATCAAGGAAGTATTTTTGATCCTTATTTTCTCAAAATTATGACTAGTTAGATCAACTTACATCTCAACTAATAAATTAAGTGAGTTTGAGCCACAAATTATGTAACTTGTATCGAATGCAGTTAAATAAACAAGAAATTTCAAAAATTCTATTATTTATTCTTTTTTTTATATTTTTGATATCATATATTTTCTTGTTTCTTTGTATATAATAGTTGAATAATCAATCTTATTTAACTCGTGTCTCCTTATAATTTAAAGAATATTCAAAGTTTATTGCATAATTGTTTTGAAAGTGCCACATTTTGATTATTACATCCAACTCTCAATACATTTGATAGTATTGACAGATTATGTTTTTTCTTTCACTAAAATTTATAGAATTCGACTAAATATTTGGGTATTTAGATTTTGAGATAAAACTAACACTTCTAATAAATCTGATGCTATCAAGAACTCTTAAATGGACTTGTGCACAAATGAAAAATTTGCACCTTTCTATCTAATTAAAGAGCAACTCCTCACATCCTTTTTGTAGTTTCCATTCTTAGAATAATCATTAAAAAATTAATTCAACCATTCTTCTTCAAATCTTTCCTCAAAATATAATAATCCTTTTTATTAATACTAAATTTAAGTTACTTGCCTAAAACTCATATTTTTGGCAAGTTCAATTGAAAATTTGTTTAAATCATGAACAAAGCTACTAATATTTATGGATTTCCCTAAGTTTTTCAATTTTTCTATTTATGTCAGATGATACTAATTAATAAACTCTTCATAAAAGTCATAACTTGTTAGATTGTATTATTGTAGTGCGTCACAAACAACAGAGATAATTGTTTCCTCCTAATCTGCTATTTTTTCAAATATATTGTTTGATAACACAAAAATGCTGGGTATATTTATTTTTGCTAGTTTTGTTTTGAGATCGTCTACTTCTTTTGTGGTATGAAATTAAATGGTTACTAAATTTTCTTCTAATAAATTCCAAATTTTTTGAGTAATTTCTTAATAATTAATAATTTCTAAATTTTCCAAATCTGTAAAAGTATCCTCTTAATTTGTATTATAATTTTCTTTTCCAATCTCAAAATTATACTTATTTATAAGTTATTTTTAATGCATTTTATACATTTAGATAAAAAATTGACTATCTTAAAATACTTTAAGCATATTTGGGAAATTCTTAAGAAAATTTTATTTCACATTATTTATCTCAGTTGCTTTAGTCACCATATCTGGCAATACTTAAACCACAATTTCCATCATATAAGGAGTTTCCACCAACTGATTTAAGTTTATTTTCCTTATGATTTATTCATATCTTTCAAAACTCCAAAGTTTTTGTAAATTTATTCTTAAACTTCTCAAAGCTTCAATACTTTTTAATGCTATTAGCTCATCATCTTAAAGAAATTATAATATGCTCTCAATTTATTTCTCATTCAAAAGATTTTCACTAGTTACTTCGGATATCTAAAATTATGAGATGAATTTCTCCCAACAAAAATCAAACTTCTTAATATCAACAACTCCTCGATTGGAAATTTCTATATACTGTTCATATACTTCAAAAATTTTCATTTTAATAGTCTAAATTGTGTATTTTTTTAGATATTACTTCATTTATGCTTCATTAAATTTTAGAAGCTAAACTTCTTTCAATTCTTCCTTTTTTTCTGGTTAAAACCATGTGGTATAATTCCTACTTGTAAAAATGTCACTTCTAGTTGTAAAGATAACAAGCGGATTTGACCAAATCGAATTTACTTTGTTACTTAAATATAAATTTTTTTGAATATGCTCTAGTTTCATCTCATCATAACTGTCCATTATCAATAAAAATTTGAATTCCTTCTTTTTCAACAACTCTTTACATTCTTTTAATTAGAGCCAGTCAAAACCATACTCATCTTGACGCAGTGCCTCATCTACAGCTTGAAAAACTGGGTTTTTTAAAGAAGGCAATGAGATATAAACAGGTATGAGCACTTGATTTCTGATTTTTTAATTGTTATTATGTAATTTCCATATAAATTCTTCTATTTTCTTTGCTGTAGTACTTTTGCCGGATCCAGCTTAACCATGTATCAATAAGACTGTTTTTTTTTCCTCAGGCAACTCTTGTAATAAAAACTCATTCACCTCTGCTCCTGGATCATTTAAATTTTCGAAATTCATCAAAATGCTCCACTCCTCCTTCCCTATCTCTTGGGTTTGTAATGGTACATAAATTGACTTAGCATTTTTGTAGGCTGCTTCTTTCAACACTTTCCATTTTCTAATTTCAAATAGCTACTCAATAGATTTTCCTCTCAAAAATTTAATATCATTACCAATTGTATTCAGTTATTCCTTCATTTCATTGATTTTACCTTCTATTCTAATTAAACCTTTTCGGATATGATTAACAAAATCAGTTATCAGTCTAAGTTATTAACCCATTTCACTTATATTTTCAATTTATTAATCCAATTGCTCGGTTGTTTCATCTAGTTCTTTCAAATAGAGATCTCGCTTATTAAGATTAGCTTCATGAGAAATTTATTCTTACAATTCATCAATCCTTCTCAACATCTCCTACATCTTCTTTGCAATTCTATCATGTTAGGTAGACCAATCTTTCTACAAAATCTACATTTACATGCTTATTAGTTGTTAATTCTTTAAAAAATTTCGAATTCTTTGATCTTTTTCTTAAACCCATAATTAGATTAAGACCTTCTAACAAAAAGAAGTTATAGAATCTGAAAAACAATTAGTTGAAATCTAAATTATAGTAAACACTAAACCCTATTTAATTTTCCATTATTCATTATTTTTAAAGTCTTAGAACCTTTGAACCAAATTATCTAATAAATTTGATTCTTCTTCTTTTTCAAATTCTTCACTGCTTTCTTCACAGTATAATTTTTTTATTTATTGGATTAGAAAATCTTATTCGATTTTGAAGTTTGAAAAACATCTTGTTTAGGCTAATTTTTCTAATAAATAAAATTCTAAGCAATCAAGAAAATCAAAGATGTTTATCTTAATTTGAGTCGCCACTTGATCTTTTTCCCTATTAAATAACTTGATTTCCAAACTTTCCATATATGAATGAAAATTTTCATCTTTTTTCTATTCTAAATTAACATATGAAAATTGTAATTACTCTAACTTTTTAATAAATTCTTTAATCCCATCTTAAAATTTGTCTTAGAATTCAGTTTAAATTGTTTTTTCATACTTTTCAATTTAACAAAATGTATTAGAAAAAAAAGTAACTTCTTCAAGTAAATTGCTTAATAGCACCATCTCTTCTTTCATTATTAGTTATTTTATCTTTACTACCTTTGTTATGAATGATAGGTAAACTCTATAGCTTTCATTGCTCGAAAAATTAAATTTCTAGCCATTTTAAGTGGTATCAACAACATTTTCACTTTTTCCTGCCTCTAAATGAATCTATTAAATTAATTCAATTTAAAAGCATTTATCATTGTCTATCACATCAACTCTCTCATGTCTTATTGGAGATATCTAAACTTACTATTCTTCATGATTTATTTGTTATTAGCTTATTAGAGTTTGTAATTGGTTTAGCTCTAAATTTATTAACTTTAAAAAAATGGTCTTGTTTGGGCATTCAAATTTTTCCAATGTTTGAATCACCGTTTCTGTTTATTGTTTTAATTTGTTCCAATTTTCAATCTATAAAAATTTTCTAAAATCTTCAATTTCTTTTAATTGAGACAAAAACATTTCATATTTTTCTTTTTCCAATTTTATTTCTAATGAATTTAGTTTTTTTTTTTCCATCTTTTCTTTAGATTTATCAACTTCTAAATCTTAAAAAATTTTCTAAATTTTCTACAATGAAAAAGATTATTTGGTGAATTAATCTCCAAATTCCTTCTCAAACATCTCTAAATCATTTCCTACTTATTCAAACTGTTTTTCATTTAAACTTTATTTAAATAGGAGGGATTTAATTATACCTTTTTACTTCGATAACCTAAATTCAAAGTCATCTCCTGTGATTTCAATATTTTGTAATTCAGTGTAAATTAATCTATCAAAATTTGTCCTTTTTGTCATAATTCTTTCTGGAAACTCTTCAATTATATTGAATAGAAACCGATTAAGATTTATAATTTCAGACAATTTTCTTAATTCCTCTAATTTTGCTTTTTCTAATAAAAATGAAAAAGACTTCTTTGAAGCAACCAAATTTAATTTTAGCTTTAAATTGCTTTACCTTAATTTTTCTAGAAATTTTAGCAACTGCAAATCAGAAAGAGCTTATTTAACTTTTTTCAGATCAACCCTTGACGGGACTGTCTCAATTTTAGACATAATGATCATAATTCCTTGAAGGTATTTATAATATTCTGAAAAATGGTTTTAAAATTCATAATACTTGTTTTCATAATTTAAATTTAGATTATTGACTAAGATCTAAAAATATTGCAATAAGTCATTTTGAATATAAGATAATTCTAATTTTTAAATTTCTTTCTAATAATTTTCAATCAAATTTTCAACTTCTCTCCTAATTTTTTTTTTACTATTTTGTAGGTTTGATGTTAACTGCAGACTTGAAAATTTATCTTCTTTAAAATCAATGTTATTTAACTCATCGAAAATTAATTTTCTCCACTCCTCAATATCATTGTTGGCAATTACTATCTTTTGATGTTGTGTTTGACTTCCTTAATCTTAATTTTAATCTTAATCTAAAATGATATATAATTATAATATTTGTTATAGTCTCAACAGTTTATTAAATTTTTCAAAATTCTTAACTTCCTCTCCATTTTTCTATTTGCTTTAATTTAGTCTCATAATTTTAAGAAGCACCTATGTGTTTTAAAGGTAGATGTCTAAATTTTGAATAATTTTTTGTATTTATTGTGAAAGAATTTTTAATTTTAAATTTTCATCATATTACTTATCTTATGTAAAGTTTCTACAAAGTTTAATTGCTTCTTCCAATTTCTCAGTATTTATTTGAATTAAAATTAGTAACTTATTAGAAACATAAAAACCTAAAAACTTTTTTATATTGTTAATCGCCACTATATTTACATTTTATTCAAGTTCTTATCCTTGAATTTCTAATTTGCTTTTTAAATAGGATCCAAATGTAAAAGAGATATTTTGATGTTTTTCATTTATGAGAAAATCTTTAAGTAATAAAAAAACATCCCATTCTTTGAAACAGGTTTTTAATATCGTTCTATCAATTTAACTTAATTATTTATCTTAAAATTAATTGAGTAGGATAAGGGCTTAGTCATTACAATGATTCATCTGAATTAGTAATCCTTTTCTTTGATATTCCTTCCAAATTTGATCTGACTTTACTCCAATATTTTCTGTGTTTATCAACTGACTTAATTTGAGTTTTGTTAATAGAGGATTATATTATAAGATATTCCCGATCATTTAAACCCAAAGATAATGATATTTCCAATCATTTGAATTTTTCACAATTTTATCATATATTTCCTCAACTTGTGAAATTATTTCTTCTAGAGTTTACAATTTTGTCATTCTTAAAATAACTTATTATCTCCCATTACAACATGTCTATTTAGAAATAAACTTCATATTATTTTTTATTATTGTTTATAACATACAATTTGTAAAGGTGACAAGCACCTTGAAATAATGATTGAAGCAGTTCTTCGTTTGGCTTCATTTAAGATATTGAACTAATAATACCACTTAAGCATCCTTTTAAGATTTCTTCCCTTTCATTACTATTATTAGGTGCAATCTAAAAAGAAGTTTTTATTAAGAAAAGATAGAGTTCCATTTAATTTTGAATCAAATCATTTTTCTCTATTTCCATATGTTGTCTTATTTCATCAGAGAGGTCCAAAATATTCTTTTATAAATCACATTTCATAAATCTTTCCTCATTTATTACATGGAAGCTAAATATGACTTTAGATAGAGATGCTGTTGTCTATAAGATAGATAAACACTTAAATGAATCTGTTCGAATGTAGGTCAAACAGCTATTCAATAACTTTTGGATTCCCCCAAAAATTAAATCGTATGATTTCACTACACTTTAGGCATTCTTATTAAGACTGTAAATATTTTCTTCTTAAAATTTAAACCATTATAAAGCTATCATTATTTCTTAAGATTCTGATTAATCAGCAGCAACAACAGCCTTCTAGCAAATTTACTCAACATAAAAATTGAACTTCTTAAAGAAATTCTGGAGGTTTTGATTATTCAACATTGAGATTCCTGAATTCGTGTAGTTTGCTTTCCAAGATCCACAACCACCTCCTCGCAAGATGGATTCTGTTTAAGTCATTTGAATTAACATATTATCAATTTAAATAATAATTCCACCTGGTTACAAAATATTTAAAAATTTCTTATTTTAATTGGATAATTAATAAATTTCTTATTATTCACACTCCTTTTTGAATTATTTGTGACTAATGATTTTATAACAGTTATTAAATTAAGATTTCAGACAATTAATTACCTTCAGCAAGGAAAATACTCTATTAAATATAAATTACATATACAATGAACAGATTTGAAGAAGTTTTTTAAAATTATGATTAAGAAATTCTGAATATTATTATTGCAAAGGTATAATAGATAGATATTTTAAACAATTAGATGAAATCCAAGGATGAAAGTTAAACATCAAAGCAAAGGAACAATTATTTGGTAAGGATAATAAAGAAAAAAAACTATGTGATTAAAATATGAAATTATGAGATGCTAAAATGGCAATTTATGCAGTAGAAAAGGAAGCTAATAACATTTAAATTAATTTTTGCAGAAACACAGATAAGTTATTAAGCAATATTCAAAAATAATATACGTATATATATTTTTTAATTTTAGCCTTTAGATGCATTAAGTATTCATATGCTTTAATTAAAAATATTATCTTTTATTATCCTTTTTATATGAATGTATCATAATTCAAAAATAATCAAATGTGAAATATTGGTTTAGGATAAATAAGTGAATGTATTTTTTTTTATATCATTAAAGAATAATTAAATAATCTTAGAATGACTCTCTTATAAATATGTGTATATTGATATACCAAATTTTTTTGAATATTTGGTATGAATAACTTGAAATGATTTGAAAGACAATAAATTTGTAAACTAACAAATGGTTTTATAATATATTTTTTTTAATTGCATCAATAAATAGCCTAAACCATAATATCATCCAAGTTTTTCAAGAATTTTATTTATGAGTTATATCTATAAGGTTCATGTTTAGATGATTTTTTCAATGACCAAAGATTAAAAAGGACTAAAATTTATTAATAAAAAAATAAAAATGATAAAATTAGGACATATGTTGGTACAAGAGCAAGCTAGATTAAGATCGGAAATGCAAGTTGCATCTAAATAAAAGAAATTTCGAAATGCTACAGCATCTACATTGTAATAAGCACACTAACAACAAGCTACCCAAATATATCGAAAACTTCCGCATTGTTATAAGCAAGTCCAACCAACTCTACAAATTTTATCAGTTATAATTGTTCACCAACATAATCACCGAAATATTATTCATTTTCTCCTGATCCAGATTAAATAACTGGTCTGAAGAAAAATAATGTATAGATATCTTACAAAAACAAACTTGAAACTGTTTAATTGGCGCCTAATAAGCCACCTTTGAAAAGAGGAAATAAAGTTACGAATTTGAGAAATATTAATACAAATAATACAAGTTAGCCTCATTCTGTTAAGAACGAGGAACCAAAAGAAAAACTATTAGAGTAAACTCACTTTTTATGTGCAATAATGTAACAATAGCATAGTACCACCGGTAAAATTGTTGCCAATTTTTTAAATGGAAATCTAGAAAAGAATAGCTATGAATCCATAATTCAGATGGAGAAATCTGCATAAGCTTTATAATAATCTGCGAAAGAAATGTCAAAAGCATTGTATGCCTCTGATGACGAAGGAGAGTTTGAGAACCTATAAAATAAATTCATTGATCAAATCAGATTTTCCAAATACAGAAAACCAACTCAAGAGAAGAATATTATATTTAAAAGAAATTATGGTTAAAAACACGAGATGATGATAGACTAAGTGGCCTAATAGAGATAAAAAACTGAAGAGAATTAAGATTTTGATGTTTTCATTCCAAAGTCTTAGATGGATTAATTTTTTAAGTATAATTATGTTAATCATTTAGAATAATTTAGGATAAAATTGATGGTAGAATGAAAGAATAGACTGAATAATTGATAAAAGAGGAATAAAAACTAGTAAATGGAATGATAACAAATGTTAAGAAATTTCGTGAGGATATAAGGGAAGTGAAATATACAATGAATCATATAAGAAAGAATAAAAAAGCGTTATAATCACAACAATAATACCCTTAATCTACCTTAAGAACCTTAAGAACTATGAAATCGTAATCCTCTGCTAGATTACAAAGTGACTAGGCTACTAAACTAAATGAAGATGCTAAAGCTGATTTAAAACTGAGAGTGATGAAGGCATTAAGGAATTTCATGGATAAATTGAAAAGATTTAACATTACGTTAGAGGATGTAGTAAATAATTAAGTGTTTCCAACTTAAGCATACGAAAGACCAAACAGTGTTGAATTCTTTAGACAAGTTAAAGCTGATAATATAAGGGAGATTGAAAACATTTTACGTGATTGTAGATTTCACGTTTATGATAGGGATAATTAATAAAAAACTGCTTTGCATCATGCTGTTAGTATTAATTCTATTGAAGCGATAAAATTATTGGTGGAAAATGGTGCTGATTTGGATGCAAGAGACATGAGTAATATAATAAATATTTTAGTGGGAAGAACTCCTTTGCATTTAGCAGCAAAAAACAACAATTGTGATACTGTTAGGGTATTATTAGTCTATCAGGCTAATCCTTCTATTAAGACAGTTGCAGGTAAAACTGCTTAAGATCTCACTGAAATGCCTGTTATTAAAGCTCTTGTTAAAAATGCCAAAAAAGTAAGAGTAATTTATAAAGTAGTTGCATTTTATGATGAATTTACAACCAAATAACAAGAAAAAAGATTTTTGGGTAGAAAAAGCTGTTGTCTATTTCCAGGAGGATGATCCAGAAAAGATTTTAAAATTACAACTCTATAAAAATCAAGCAAAGTTATTTTTATAATGATTTTTATGATCCTAATTTTAATTTTACTATTAATTTAAATAAAATGGAAGAAATAAATACTTAAAAATAAGACGATTCTCCTGCTCCCTCTGGAAGTTTTATTGTTAATGTTGAAAAGATTTAAAGGGATTCAGTTACAGAAGATAAAATATAGCCTGAAGAGGACTTTGAATTGTAAGCACTATTTAATAAACTTAATTCAACTATTGATGAAGCCCCATTTCATGAAACAAAATGCCAAAAATAGAAGTAAGATTTATCATACAAAGCTGAGTTCATAATGACTCATTTTATAAAGTTCTATATTTATTAGCTGGTAAGATCTAAATTTTTAAAGTTAGATGTTTTACATTTTTGGACCATTTGTTTATCTATTCCTTCTAAATAAACCAGCTTTAATGTTTAACTTAGGATTTTGGTCCTTTAGATAAGATGTAGTTTTTTAGTATATTTAATGGGTAGGACACATATTTTGCCTTTTAATGTATTTTTATTTCAAATCTCTTTCCTCATTAGAAATAGGTCTTTTATGGTTTTCATTATTGACTAGGTCTATTATAGTTGCTGCTAAATTCTCCACTCTTAATGAAGAGAGAGTTGAACTGTATGAAAGTACTCGTTTAAGTAAATAAATTATATATTTTGATGTTGTTTTATTTGATTGGGCAATATAATCCAAAAAAATCAAAAATTTAGAAATAGCAAAAGCAGCCAAAAGACATGATTTTGATACATAGTTTTTCTGCTTTAATTTTTTAGTTGAACCATTAAAAGAAACTCAATATGCATTATTGGATGATAAAGAAACTTAATTAAATCTTCCTCATGAGGGTGCTTATGGTGGAATAAATTTGATATCCTATTTTATCGATTCGTATTAATCGCTAAATACAAGAAAAAATCAACTTACTGTGGCTCTCCTAATCAGCTTTATTGTTGTAATCACTCCAAAAGTCTTAGCATATGAGAGATATCTGTAAAATCCAGTCGAAATATTCTTAAATATTGTTTGTGGAGTATTTTAGATTTTATAATTTAATTGCATATTCTTATACTTACTGATTTCACTTGAAGATATGAAAAGAAAAATATTTTTATTAGATTAGGTGTATTATTTAATCAGTACTAAGAGAGTACGTTGTAATGAATTTAAATTAACACCAACCATTGATATAAATTGTCCAAGAACAATAGAGGCCTGGAGTATGTTAAGATCTATAGCCTTTGATTATGGAGCCTCTTACCACATAAGGAACTAAATCTATCATACAATATTAATTTTATGTTGTGTCGCAAGTATTATTTTTTCTTTTTAAATTATATTGGACTATTTCTAACTGGATTATTACTATTTGATTACGTTAGGGATTATCTTTTTAATATTTTTGTTTTTCATCTCCTTATATTTATTAAGTGCAGCTAAAATTAACTAATTTTTTGAGGACTTCAAAACACAAATCGAAAATTTAAAGTTCATTTGCCAAGATGTCAAAAGAATGAGGAAGCAATATTTTGAAGAAAATAATTCAGAGCCTTAAAATTTTGTTCATAAATCTTTTGTTAATCATCTTAAAGCTTAACATGATAATGACAACTTAATTATCTATTAAAGAATAGACAATTTAATTGATTCTTTAGATAATGCTTAAAGACATATTGAATATGATAGCAGAAATTACCCTTTGAAACTCTACGGAATTAGGATAACCTACGAAATTCTCTAAAATTTAGTTGTTGGATTATTTACGTTGATTAGTTTTGTAGTTCAACAAAGATTTTCATCTTGATTATATTTTATAAATAAATAATACAATTAATTTAATTTCAAATTTAGCAAATGAAGGAGGCATCCAATATTAATGACGAAAAAAGGCCTTTGGCTTCTATTCCATTGTAAACTTTCCTGTATTTTGATTATATTTTTACAGTATTCATATCAGAGTTATAGTTAGTATATCTATTTCATAATAGAAATAATTGTCTTTATTTACAAGGGTTATGGATTATTTTACCCTCCAAATAAAATAGGAATTGAAATATTCTTACAATTTTTATTGGCATTTTGTTAATTCCCTCGATTGATATTAGGATCGATTGGCAATAAAACTGAATCTCCATCATAAATTTTATGGTACCAAAAAATCACTATTCTAGGTTTGTTTTACTTATTTTCCCATGCATATTCTTCTATATATTTTTCATAGTCTTGTAAACTTATATTGTTATTTTGGAGATAATAATAAATGTGGTTGCTTTGATATTTATAGTCTTTGAATTGTTATTTAGTTTATCAGCATTTTTAACTTTTAAAAACTATGAGAAGTAACAATGAGTTGGAAATTATTGATACATATTTTATGTAATTAATTAGCAATAAAAAAATAACATTATAAATTTAATATTATAAATTGAGGACAATGGAAGAATAATTAATGATAATGAATCATTTAGTAGCTATGGATGCTAAGTCAATGAAGGCTAATTCAAATACATAAGAAATTAATAGCTGGATTAGAGTATATAGTAAAACACATTTAGTCACATCCTATGATTAAGATGGCTCATTGATTTGTAATTAAACAGTACCTTAATAAGTTTCTGCAAGACTGAATCATCAATATCGGTTAATCTTATTGAATAGAAGGACTGATTCTGCTTAATTATTATAGAGAACTGAAAAAGCGATTCATTATTGAATTTTTAATGCACTCTAAGTTCGTTATTAAAATAAACACAATTTTTATTTAAACCAGAAAGATTTAATTGGTTTATGCTTTGTATGTTGGATAAGATAGGGCAATCAAAATTATAGACACTTCTATTTTTCATCCCTGAAACAATACAAAAATTAATTCTACCATACAAAAACAACATATTCTTTTTTTTATAAATGTGCACGACTAAATATCAATTTAATGCTGAGTGATTACCCATTAAGAAAATTAAAGTAAACCTTAAAGCTTTTAGTAATAATTAACAATCTGAAATTTCAACATAATATTGTTTTTGATGAAAACATCAGCCCAAACTATTAATAAGACAATTAATTCAAAATAGAAAAAATAATTATATTAGCAGCAATAATAATTCACAAAAAAACATACATATTGTATGCAAAAATAAACCTTCATCATCAACTAATTGTAACAAGGATGATATATATAAACAAAATTATTCAATTTAGAATGCAAAAAAAATTAAGAAATAGTGATAGATATATATAATTCACTAAATATAATCAAAGTCACAATTTTAGAAATCACTATTTTAGTAAAATGAAGAGTTGGAAATTTAATTACTTTTTATATCAAGTAAAAGTTCTTTTAATCATAATAAGAAATGGAAGAATAAAAATAAATCAAATTCTAAAACAGTAATTATAATATATTTTTTAATCTCAAAAGATTTTGATAGAAAATAAGAATAATGAATTAATTCTACAAAAACAACAAATTAGAAATTAGGGTTTCACATAAAGTAATTATCAAATTAGGGTTTGAAAGCAAAATATTGAGGAGTATGCTAATTTTTTAGAAATTAAGAGAATAAAACGGTTTGATTAAATTTATAAAACTGTGGTTTTAGTTATCAAAATTTGATTTCAGGTGTGAATTTAGAGTGATTGAAGAATTAATCTTAAATTTAAATCTGTGAACTTGATTTTGATTCCGAAAATAAATGATTGTTCAATTTATAAATTAATTTAAGATATAGATTAAATAATTATTATATGATTCTCATCACAACTTTAACTATTTTTAAGATTTTTTTATTTTGGATTTGAGATCCTAAATTTGATTATATTGCCAGAAGATGTTTGGAGGCGTCACTAAAACAAGATATAAAAATTGTAAATGCATTGGTTATTTAAAATCAAATAATGATTTATTTAATTAAGATTAGTAATCTCTGAAGAGATTTATTAGAAAGTTTTAACGAATATAGCCACATCAAGTGAGTTGGAAAGAATTTTCATTAATGATTTTAGAGCCAAATTGATAATAATTCGAAAATTGCATGCTCATAAATCTTAATGCAATGATGATCCATTGATTTAATTATTTTTGGTTAATTCATCAAAATCCTCTCATCAGATTTAGATGATTGAGGCATTATGTAATGGAATATAAAGTATTAGTAATTTAATAAAAGCAATAAAGAATTAAATTTGATAATTACTGCAAGATTCATTTTCATAAAAGAAAAATAGCCTTTTTGGTATTAGTCTTCAAAATTTAATAAATTCTTTCTTTAATCTAATTTATAACATTATTTCATGATCTTGAAGGTATTTATTGAAAATATCATTATTCTAATTGTGATTTTTAGGAGGATCATATAGAAAGGTTTAGTATTTTACATAGTTAACACTAATTCGATAAATACCACTACAAGATTCTCTTATTGGTTCAATTTTTTTCAAATTATAATATTTTATAAAAAAACTCATGGATTTGGATCACTATAACTACCTTCTAAAGAGAGATATAAAATTGGATATAAGTATAACTGAGCAAATGCTTCAAATGCTTGAGATGCTTATACATTGGATCTTTTAGGTTTTATATTTATCTTGATATTAGGTTGGCGAGTAAAATAAATTGGAAATCAAAACAATTGAATTAGCTGCCATTCTAAGCAAATTATTTGTTTCAAAAAACCAAATCCATTCTGAAAGAGCAGATTTGCTAGGCATAGTTTCGTTAATGATAGCAGTAAAGGTTATTAATGATATATATTTCTTTAGTTCAATGAATGCCAAACCAAAATATAGATTAATGTTCAAGACTGTGTCGACTAATGTCAATCTAAATATAGTTCTGGAGAAATAACAGATATGGAAATAAGTATTCTATCTCTTATTGAGTATGATGCAAATATTACTACAATAACTGATTATTTTGATGGTGAAGATGTATAAACTGACTTAGTATTGTTTGTAACTCTTGATTCTGAATTTCTATACTTTCAAAAATATGAATTGTTTGAGGCAATTAGAAATTTTTACTCATAAGATACATCAAACTTGTCTCAAAATACAAAAAATGTATTTAAATCAAATAGTATTAGATAATCAGCAAAATTAGTACTAAAATTTAACATTTGACTACAAAAGATGAAAAAAAGACTCCAAAAATAAAAAAGAAAATGATTAAAAAATAGGGATTTAAAAGATCAATAATATGCAGCTCACAAAGCATTACACTATGAAATAATTTGATTTCAATTCTATTTTATGATTATAACCACTGTTTAAATAGTGGATATTTAAATATCTTTTATCTATATCCTAAATCCAATCCTAATCATAGTTAATTTCTACATCCTGATTAATTATTTTAAATTTTTGGAGGGAAACCTAGGAATTTTGTGATATTTGAATTTGAATTATTATTCATAATAAATAAAATTCATTTCGATTTATAATATACCCATATTTTTATTATTATACATCTTCATCTAAATTAAATTGAAATGGTTAAGCGTCTTAAAGGTATCAAAATGTGTAAACACTCTCAATGAAAGCTTTCTCTCAAAGCATATTCATCAACGAACCCTTTAAAAACAATATATTATTATGAAATATATACTTGAAAATGATGAAGAATTTTTGAATTAAAATCTTTTATTTTTAATTAAAATATGGTTGTCAAGTCACTTGCTCATAAAAGAATAGTTCACAAGAGAACAAAGAGATTTGTTAGATTTGAATCAGAAGACTATCCCCACAAATTAAGACCAAGCTGGAGAAGACCAAGAGGTATTGATAACAGAGTCAGAAGAAGATTCAGAGGAAATAGACCTATGCCAAAAGCTGGTTATAGAGGTGATAAAAAGACAAGGTATTGTGAAATCAAATGACCTTTTAGATACTTGGATTAAACTGGTTTCAGAAAATTGTTAATCACCAATGAAAAAGATCTTGAGTTATTGCTCACAAATAATAGAAGTTTTGCAGGTGAATTAGCACACAATCTTTCAGCTAGAAAAAGAGCTACTCTTGTTAGAAGAGCAGCTGAACTTAATGTTAGATTAACAAATGGAAAAGGTAAAATTAGAGCAGAAGAGAAAAAGGAATGATTAATTTCTGTTGTACAATATAAATACATATATGCATTTTCTATTCAGGCGTCATTACAATCATAATCAATAAATTTACGAGCATTTATTTGCTTTATAAATACTTAATCATGAATGAATTGATTTAGTAACATTTTTGTTTTTATTATATAATCCTATAGATTTACATGAAAAAAGAATTTGAACATATAGATTTATTCTTTCATTTTAACTGATATTTGGTTTTTGAGCAATCACCTTAAAATTTATAATTTATATTGATTTAATATAATTCGGTTCCATAAATGGATAAATATGATTGATTTTTTAAATCTATCTTACTTTCCTCAAGAAAGCATAAAAAGGATTTGGAGTTTAGAAGGTATTTTCTCGCAAATTTATAATATTCTCATAAATTGGTTAAGCAGTTTCATCTTCTTCTGAGCTCCTCCATATTTTGCCTTAATCTTCAGCTATATTTTAATTTATTCAATCAGGGTAAGTCTTTATTTATGAATTAAGTAGATTGAACATGATATTCTAGAATTATTTCAATATTCTATTATTTTCAGAATTATTACTATTAGAAATACTTCTCATAATAAATTAAGACCTAAATTTCATTTTATCTAAAAAAATATTTGATAAAATTATTTAGTAGTAAATTATAAAATAGAATTAATTGATAGTAATGGTAAATAGAAAGAAACAGAGTAAACTATAATTACTATATCATGTAATTTATCTACTTTAATTTGCATCGAATAAATTGGTATATATAATTTATTCAATTACAAATTAATATTTTAGTTGTCAAAATTTTATACATTAATTGAATTATAAAACTGAAAAACAATCTTGCAAATGTGAATTAAATAGGTCCGAATTCTTTTGTCTTAATTCATTTCATGTTTACAAATATGTATTGTTAACTATCTAATCAAATAAATTTCCATCAAACTCGAATATAATATTAGTAAAGCATCTTCATAGTAATCATAAGACTTTTTTTAAGTTTTCTAAGTTGTTAAGCCTAATTATTTTTAAGTTCTTAATTTTAATAAATATGAACACTTTTTTATCTGTATTGCTCTTACATAGTTTATTTGCTATGCCTGCATTATCATGTAATCAATCCTGTTTTTGCAAAAAATATAAAACCTTAAAGCTTCGTTCTACTTTTAGAGGATAATATAAAAATGTATTATAAGAATAAAAAGGAGCATTAATCTCTAATAAAAATTAAATTGGGTTTGCAGGTAATTAATTTAACCGAAGCCCTTTAAGATCTGAATTATATGATGTAAATACAGGAAAGGGATACACTACTTCAATTATTGGGAAATTTGTGATAATTGATTTACCATAAATATACGAGATTAATACAATAAAATTTTGGGTCTATGATAGAGATGTTACTTTAAGAACATTTGATTTAAAGGTCTATGTTTAGAACTCTCAAAGTCTAGTACAATTAGTTTATGAAGACACAGTTGCTACTAGCATTAAAAAAATAAAGTTTTCTGACACTTTTGTGAAATAAATACTTATTTATGATAACAATGGCAGTTCAGTGAATTAATATTTGCATATCCTTAATTTATAAGCCTATTTTGAATTTTGAAGTAATTAATTTTCTAACTTTATTGAAAGAGTTTGATTGAATTATTGAAAAAAACTATATAATTTATTTGATTTGTTTAAAAATAGACTACAATGAGATATCAAATAAGATTGGAATCCTTAAAAAGTTATTTTGGATAATAGTGATAAATATCATAATATTATTATAATATAAAATAATCATAATTCTTCTTGTTATTGATCATCCTATTTTTCTTAAGCTTTTGGGGAATCTAGTACATTAGGGATCTCATTTTAATTGTTCTGTTAATTTTAATTTCCTTCTTCTTGATGAAAAGATTATTGATTATTCTAATCATCTTATCTAGAGTCAGAGTCCTTTTTATCTTGATTTTAGTTATCATTTTAATCACCATTATCGTCTTTATTTGTATCATTCTATAGATTTGGCTCATTAATCTCATTTATCTATTCAATTGATATCTTAGAAGATTAATCCTTATCAGACTCATCAATATGTGGTCTATCTTAATGTTGTTAGCCTCCCTCCTCGTCAGTATTAAAATTTGAAAGATCCTTATTTTAATCTCTAATAATAATTATTTGTTAATTACTCTTTTTATTTTGGTTGAAGATACTTTTCTGCAAATTCTTTAGCAGTCATAGTTAAAGCTGATTCTAATTCTTCAAATGCTGTTTTTTACATTTACTAAGTGTTTTATAATTTTTACAGTAAATCCATTTCATATGTTTCTATTTGTTCAATCTCTAAAATAATTGCTTATAAATTACCCTTCTATTTTCCATCTTTTAGCTTTTGTTCAAATTCTAATTTCTTTCCTAATTATTCCCTTATAGCTTCTCTTTTTTCCAACACAATTCTTTCCTTCACTCTATTCAGATCTCTTGTTTCTCTTATTATCTAATTTTTTTGTTTAAGAGTTGTTAAGGATTATTTTTGAGAACTCATTTTCCTAACTTCATTATTTTTGGTTTGTTATTTGATTATAAATGCTTTTTATACTTTATCACTTCTATGCTTTTCAATTAATAATTTATGTTCTCTTTCTTGCTATTTTCGAATTTATTGTTATTGCTCCTACTTCTTCTACAACTGCTCTTTTTCTTCTTCTCTCTAAAATTATCATTTAAGTAGATTTACTTTTTTCAGTTTTTCTTCATTCTTTTTTTTAAGATAGTAAATTTCCAATGCCTTTTTACGAGTCTCCTCTATTTTTTTTAAAGTTCTGATCTCCTCTTGTTTCAACAATGCCACTCTATTATCGAGCAATTGCTTATGGGCTTCAATAGTTTTTCTTTCTTTCTTAGCAGTGTTGTATTATTTAATTATATCCTTATCCTCATCAAGTTCATTGTCATTTGTGAATAGATCATCTATATATGCTTACTATTTTGGAATGATATCGTACTTTTTACACGCTTTTCTGCTAAGAATGAATATCTGTCATTTATTATAAATAAATAATTATTAAATACAATATAACTGAAAACACAATATTGTTCAATATTTATTCCAATCATATACTTATAAACATTGATAAAATACTAAAATTATAAAGAATCATTTAAGACAAACTATTTAAAAGGATTGATTCCTGTGGATAAGCATTTTATGGATTTAAACAAAAATAGAGCCATTGCAGAACCTATTTAATGAGAAGTAGACGACTGAATTTACATAATATGGAACCAAACTTTGAAAATGGAATCAGATTTGTATTTGAATGAATCAATATATTTTATACATTTTGCATTTGCAAACTTTCCCCTTCTTATGCCATCCAGTTCCATTGCATTTTAAGCAAATTCCCATTGCCCACAAACAATCTTTGCATTACTTGGTCCTACCTTTCTTCATGTAGTATCCAGTTCCTCGGCATCTCATGTTTAAATAAAAAAATACAAATAACAACTGGGTCTTATTTTTATTTGAACATTTCCTCCGGCATAAAATTATTGTCCCTAAGGAACAACTATTGCTGTTGCAGGATATTGACCTGGATACCTAATTGAATGATCAAATTAATTTACGATTAAGGTGGGTAAGGTTATGCATAATTAGTAGGTGGTACATATCCAGGTTAAGGGGGAGGATAACCAGGGGTAGGAGGATATCCAGGAGCAGGAGGATATCCTGGTTATGGATACCCACCAACTGGTGGAGGATATCCAGGAGTAGGTGGATAAGGATAACCAGTTGGAGGTGGTTAATAACCTGGTTATGGATATGGAGGTTATCCATAAGCAGGAGGAGGAGGAGGAGGATACTATGCAGGAGGGTAGCCATAAGGTGGAGGAGGAGGTGGTTACATTAATAATAATAATGAATGTAATGTATAATTATGAGTTATATTAAAACAAGTAAGTAATTTATTCCATATTTAATATCTCAAGCGTAGAAATCTATATTTATTATCCAAATATTAATTTTTAACGTAAATGTAATCTTTTTTTTATTGAATAGTTTGATTATGCCCTAATCTCTTAGAATATCAATTTATGCCATAAATTTAAAAAACCTAAAATTTATTGTCTTAAATCAAAGCTAAATCTTCTCTCTGTTATATTTATATAGATATTCTACTAGCCTTTTCTAACGATTAATAATGAATTATCATTAATAAATAAGTATAATTTTTATAGGATTAGCTATTCTTGATACTTAAATTTGATATTTCTGACCAAGCCGTTTAAGCTGAATTGGTCCATCACCTACTGAGCCATCGAATTAAAAGGCCAACCAAGTCATGTCAATTTTATCTCTAAATGAACTCAGCATTAAATAATATAAGATATAAATTGATTTGATGGATAATCTTATTCATATACATATATTGTTACAACAAGATTTGATTCTATCCAATCTTAAATATTTTCAGTTCAGAATTGAGATTTTTTTCTAATTTTTTATTTCTTATAAATGTTTATGAAATTTTGAGAAATACTTTATTTAATTTAACAGATTAAATTTACAGAAATTCAAAAATGGAAAATAAAGACAATTTGCTGTACTACTTTCTCACCCAATGCTTGTGTTCTCTCCATGAATCTTTATAAAAATTAATTAAGTAAAAGTTTGTATTTATTCGATGGTCAAAAACAAATAAAGGTGTCTCATTTGAATTAACCATTCTAAAGTAACCTTCATCGAAGGTTTTTTCACTTCTTTCGCCATTCTTGCATGGATATTAGTTTTTGGAGACCATTCAGTTAAGTCAAAATGAGCACAATCATTTTTATAACCTTACTTCTTAACTAATAAAGTATAAACTTATTTTTAAGCTACTCTATAATAATTTAGTTTTCCATTAATATCGAATGTATCCGATAAAATGGAGATTCTACTGGATCCATAATCTGACAGGTTGTATATTCAACCTTCCATTATATAATTATCCATCAGCCTCAGCAATAGTCGACAAATCTTCACTATTCTAAACATTAGCATTTTTATCACCTTCCGTTTCATAAACTATTAAATAATAGCAAAATCAGTTGTTTAAGGTTCATCAGAACAAAATTATAAACATGATCCTATAGAATAACTTACAGAAGCCAGGGATCTCTCTACAATAACAGCCTCTTGCTCTGGTTTATTAGCTTTAGGAAGTGCTTTTATTAATTTAATCATGAGTGGTTAAAATTTTAAAATCGTTTAAATTAATTTCATTATCTATTAGAAAAGCCCCATTCAATTCTAAAATATCTAGTAGATTCTAAAATAAAGAATACTTTACCTAGGTTTTTTAAAATCGTCTTTAGTTAACATTAAATTAGTTGCTAATTAACAGATATCCGTATTCGACATTTGAGATCCAACCGATTTCTAGGGTTTGAAGTACTTATACGTTGGAGGATCAAGAACATTCAATTATTTTCAATAGCAAAGGTTAACTACATTAAATTGATAAATAATTACGAATAGAATTATCTATGCCAATTATTCCATAGAATAATCCAAGAAATAATAACATAGAATATTTTATTCTTTGTTGCCTGAATCGAATCTGGGTAATGTAGCAATATTTTATTTATCTCAATACTTCTAGTTTAAATAATTATTCAACCAATCTGTAATTATTCGCAAGGTAATTGCACTTATACTTTTATAACATATGATGTATATATTAGGGATTGCCAAATTCATCGAACTAGAGAGTTTAAACAAACTGTAAGGTTACGATTACAATTGAAATAAGAATAATTTGAATATGATATGTAGTATTTTTACATCAATAATTACTAAAATAAGAACTCAAAATTGTTATTTTTGAATAATACTAAAAAGGCCAAGATTGATGATAAAACCAACAGTGCAATCAAAACAGAACCAGCGTATTTAATTATGGATAATTTCTTCATAAACTTAGAATTGGATTCTGTTTTATTTTGATCCATTAAATTAAAACAATTATAAATAAGTAGAAATTTTCTTTGTTGTGATAATTTTATTAAATAACTGATGTTTAACAATTTTTTTGATTAGTAAATTATTTAATTTGAATAACTTTAGCATTAAACAAGTCTTCAAATTAAATTCTAATAGGTGTTCCATAGATTTTCATAAAAAGATTATTCTAAATTCGATGAATACTACATTTTAATTGCTAAGTTAAGGATAAAAATATGACCAGGCAATCAAAATTTTAATAGACTATTTTGGTTTTATTAATGTATTCCCATATTATGAAGGAAGAAATCTAAAGATTACTTTTATTTATTTCAAAGAAAAAAATTTAAAACTTATTTGTATTTTATATTAAACATATTATCAATTGAACTATTTAATTGATGATATAGTATATTAGTCAGCCATAATTTCTTTAGGAATTAAACTCAAACCTAATTTTATATATATGAACCTTATACTATGTAAATTTATTAGCCAAACGAAAAAAAAGATAAAAATTATCAAAATAACTGATCCAATCAAACCAAAAAATATGATAATTGTTATTTTATTCTAGTTCATTAACTCTTCATTATTTGATAATATAATATTCAAAACCTTTTCTGTACTTTATGTTGTTGAACTAAAATGCTCTACCAGAATATTGTTAAATTCTTATGTTAAGTAAAATTTATTGAGCTAACTGAAATCTGTGATATAGTTGATAGTCTCAATTTCATTATCGTAATTAGTTTTCATAAAATTGCTAACGCTACTAGTTATCCCAGCGAGCCCATTTTTTAAATAATCTCGATTATTATCTTATAAATAGAATTAAGAATATTTCTCATTGAAATTATTTTCTCCCAATTATTCAAATGAACAAAATGGGATTTCCTGATTCATTATTTTACAGATATCTTTTTCATATAAACCTAACAATGTTTCTTTTTTAGAATCATCAATATCTTAAGAATATAAAATGCCTTCATAAATTTATGTTAAATTTTCGTCGTAAACTTCATACACGTCAATAAACATATGGAACAATTATTTTAATGGGTCTCGATATGAATTCATTTAAGATTGGGTATAAATGTTGTTTTAAACAATTCCAGGATAAACTTATGGTTAGGTTTTAATTACTAATGCACTAGTTATTAGAGTATCGAAATACGATGAAAATCTGATAAAGTTAATTGCTAATTCTTATTATGGTTATAAATTTTTCATTAAAAAATTATAAAAGAAATAACCTCCTATTAAAAAGCAAAACAGTAGCAAAAAAGGAGAGAATATCCACTTTACATTTCTATAGGTAGTATTTGTTACTCTTGAATTCAACATTCCTTTTGCCTTTACTCTATCTTTATTTGATACATTTATTTTAATTGCTTTTTTTTCTTCTCCTAAAATATTCAATGGCTATAAAAAAGTGAAATTTTACGTTTTCCAATTAATTTGATCTAGTTAAGTTGACTGCATAACCTATTTATAACTTTAATGTAATAAAATCATTTCATTTGCTTTAAACTCTGAATATTTTCCAACTAAAATTAACATTTTTTGTTTCTAATTCTCAAATTTTCTCCAGAAAATTATTTGAATAAACTGAAATATGAACAATATACAGATTTCAATAATTAAAACTATTTTTAAATTATAATTATTATTTTGTATCTAATTTTAATACATCTAATCTAATGATTCTATAAGCTCCTTATTCATATCAAATACATATTTGATATTATACCTCAAAGTAACAACAGCGTTGACGTAATCTAACTCTAAAACTTTTTTTCTATGTTCTTAAGAGAATAAATTAAATTAAAATAGGTACTATAAAGTGTTCTAGATGTAAGTTATGAATTCTGTATATGATACAGTTTGTCTTTGAAGCTGTAGAAGTTTCAAACTAATATTTGGAAGCAATCCCATATTTTCAATTTCCAAGAATTTTGGATACATATTACTTAAATTTTGAAATGTCTCTCTTTCCATATGTTTAAGAGTAAAAGAAGTTTAATTTATCAAAAAATCACTTTAATTAACAATGTTGAGTCCATTCATCAAAAGAGTCCAAGATAGAGCGTAACTCTAAAAAAAGTATCTATTGAATAAGAGGGGGGCATTTAAAGAATAGCTACTATCAATCTATTCAGAGAGTTAATACCTAATTAGTTGAATATTATATGTAATCATAGAAACTAATATTAATATTGATATCACTGTAAAAAAAAGTAATATTTTGAGATTTTTATTCATCTTGGGTTAAAATTAAAAAGATTTAAAAATAATAAGATTTTATACTCTTAAAGTATTAGAGGATTGACTAGATAAAGATTAATTCTCTTATTTATAAAGGAATCCAAGATCGTTTTCATAAGACTATAGCTTTAGAAAATTATTGCGTTATTAAAAGTTTTTTTCACTTCCAAATTTCGAAACATCATTTAAATGAGATACTTGGATATACTGATTTTCATTTTTATTTTCCTAATCCACTTTTTATGGTATTGATTCAACTTGATCTTAAAATACGAATTATTACTTAATTTAGTACTTTTCTATTTGTTCTAAATTTTAAACATTCCTACTCTTAAATTATTTAACAGCATTGACTGAGCCAGTATTTTTTTTAAAGTCTAAGATCTCAATAATGAAATATGATCTTTATAATTGTTTTTTTCCAATAGTTCTATACTACAATTATATTTTTGTATGATATTCAACAAATTTAAATTTCTAAAATATTTATAGAATATACATTGAATTATTGCATAAATTCATATACTTAGGTTCTAAATTTAGGACATAATAATTTGATCTCATCTGACAATTTGAAACTAGTATTTATATAAAATCTGCCTGTTTGAAAATTTTATTTTTTTTATTTTTTGCTTGTTTAAATTTGTGTGGTTGTCATAATAGGAATTTACGATGAGGTTTTTAATAATGAATTTGCAATTAAACTGAAACTCTAAGTTGATGTTTTATTTTCATAAAGTAATTCAATTATTTTGGATAAATTTTCGTAAATTGTTATTTTGGTCATCAGTTCAACTTAAAGGAAGTCAGACTAATTAATGTTCTCTATTTAAGATTCCAGAATAGAAAATAGAATAGTCTGAGTCAACGCCTGGAAACTCGCGACAGGAACGTCGTGGTGTGGC